TGTTCCGGATCTTCCGGAGGACGGTCTCATGGCCATCAAGGTCCATGACTCAAATTCATTCTTATATCACAGATCCTAATGTTAAAAAAAACGCGTAGCTCTAGGATCAGTTTCATGGATTGATCACTTTTACGGATGTTCCGGATCTTCCGGAGGACGGTCCCAAGGCCATCCAGGTACATGTTTATGTCACGACCCCAAATATTTGTTTATAAATATCACAGTTCCTAATGTTTTCAAAAAAACCGCAGAGCTCTAGGATCAGGATCATGGATTGACCATTTTTACGAATGTTCCGGATCTTTCGAGGACCGTTCCGTTGTCTCCAGGATCCATATATAGGAACCATGACTGTATTCTGGCTAATTGTGAACATTTGTGCTCATAAATCTAAATTACAGATCTTGCGCCACTTGCAAAACCCTACAAACACACCTTTCAAAAAAACGTGTAAGAACACTTTTCGCTTTTTATAAAAGTAGACGACTCTATTTTCAAAGTTTTTGCAATCAAAATCATCTAGAAACCCTAGGAATTCTAAAGGTACCACAATTTTTGAAATTCATTAAGAAATGGCTAAGTTGTGCCATTGCAAACTTGCCGTTACACGTTTTTCGGAGGCTTCGTAGTCGGCGTAAAGTTTTTTACCCACCGTATTCGGAGTGTTAATAACTCGATAGAATTATCGTTTCTCGGTGCGTTTGCTGTTGCTTTTGATAGCCAATACAACCTGTTACAACTCTGCATTGAACAAATTCTAGAAAATTGTAGACCATGTAGACAAATTTTCCCGAGCTATCAACGAAAAAAAAGGGTCGATGAAGAGAATCGATCAATGTAGACTGGTCTTTTTCAAAAGTTACGCGATACTTGTCAAGGTCATCAATCGGATGTCAGTTCCTATAAGTTTGAATGTAACATGTGTACTATGTACTTTTAAAGCAACATTGGCCTTTAAATTAGCACAATAGGCCGATTTTCGTACAAACTAGCCAACTTTGGCATGTTGCAACTATGTTTTGTTATGATCAATTGAGCTGAAATTTTGACACAGAACTACAAACATGCTAAATTGTGCTAAATAGCAAATTATTGGAAGCGTTTGTCGGTAATTGACGGGCTGGTTGAAAATGGCCAACTGATTACCACATTTTAATTCGAAATTCTATTATTTCGGAAATTTTTGACCATATCGCAAATAACATTCTTAAGCATGCTGTCGTTTATTCGCAATATGGTTGGAAATTTTAAAACTATAACACTTCGGATACTTCGAACTATGAATGTGCTAATTAGTTGGTCATTTTCAACCAGCCCGTCAATTACCGGCAAGCGCTTCTAATAATTTGTTATAATGTACACGCAAAATTCAGCATATTTGTAGTTCTGTGTCAAATTTTCAGCTCAATCGATCATAACTAAACATAGTTACAACATGCCAAAGTTGGCTAGTTTGTATGAAAATCGGCTTATTTTGCTAATTTAAAGGCCACAGAAGGCAAAATGTTTCCCATACATTTTCCCATACAAATTATAAAGCTCTCCTGTAAATCCAGATCGTAACCGAATTCATTCCAATTTGGCACAGTTGCTGAGGATCCCAAGACGAATCGGAAGAGCTGTGGGGAGCCAGTGGTTGTGATCTGCCATATAAAGTTGACCCGCCCTAATGTCCGACCATCAAAACAACCCACATTGCACTGGCGCAAAAGGGTATCTGTAGCGGCGATCCAATTGGTTGGTTTGGTCTAAAATTTTGGACCGAGCCCTTGCACTAGTGGTCTACATTTTGTTTTAGACCAGTTCTAAAATGTATTTTTTTTATACCAGTATAATTCTCGATCTATTTTGAACTGCATTTGGATCAAGGCAAGCACCAGGGTTACCAAAACTACAGATAAATCTGTATTTCTACAGATTTTTCAGAGTTCTTAAAAGCAAGATTCTGTGTTCACAGATTACAGATTTCTATGATTTTAACAGATTTCACAGAATTTTTAAAATATGATCAAACATTTAATAAATTAAACTTGAGATATTTAATAACAACACATTATTTTCAGTTCAGTGTAGTTTTATCATCACAAACTTTTACATATATATATGCATGCTTTTTTGCGGAATGCAAACGGGGAATGAGAACTGTCAGAGGTATTCTTTTTTGCCAATTTATGATACATATATTTTTATCTATTTTTTTGTCTCTGTCAGAAAAATTGCTCAATCACTTTTCAAATGACATTTTTTAAGGATTCAATTAATAAATTATCAACACAGATATCATCACAGATTTTCCGGACAAAAACTAAGATGAAAAGATTTTTTTGAACAAAAACAAAGATTTTCTTTTGGCAACCCTGGCAAGCACTGTTCCAAACTAGTTTGACAGCTGTCGCACTCGAGATTTTGTGTTGTTGGGGTTTTTTCTGCAAAACAAACCGATTTAGTTCCTCGATTTTCTTTTTTGAAGGGTATATATATACCGCTTGGGAAACCAACTTTCGATCCGAGGCTCGGAGGGCCGAGTTTTTCATACCAATCGACTCAGCTCAACGACATCGGAAAATGTATGTGTGTGTTCATGTGAGTAACGAACAGAATACGCTCATGCTTCTCAGAAACCGCTGCACCGAATGGGACACAACTAGCGCCAAATGAAAGGTACTGTTGTCCCATTGAACGCTATTGAATACTTTTGGATTCCGTTTACCGGTTCTGGAGATTGCAAACCTATCATGCGGCACATCAAATCACATGCGAATTCAAAAACAAAATCATTGGTAATTAAATTAAGTACCCAGGACCACCTTGGCCACTTCCGGGCATGTTCTGGAAACTCCCAGGGAAGTGGCCAATTTCTAATTTGGTCCAAAACTCATCAAATCACATTAGATTTCAAAAGCAATATCAATGGTAGTCAAATATAGTGCACAGAATCATGTTGACCCCTATCGGATATGTTCCGGGCACCTCCAAGGAAATGGCCAGTTTCTGATTTAATCCAAAACCCATCATGCGCCACATAGCACATCACATTCGATTTCAAAACCAAGATCAATCGAAGTCAAATTATGTGGCCAGGACCACCTTTCTTACTTCCAGGCATCTTTCAGGAACCCCTAGGGAAGTGACTAGTTTCTGATATGGTCCAAACCCTGTGATTTAACACATACAATATCACAGACATTGAAAAACAAGATCAGTTTAAGTCAAATATAGTGCTTAGATCCACATTGGCCACATTCTGGTATGTTCCGGGCAACCCCCCAGAGAATTGTCCAGTCTCTGACTTGAGCCAAAACCCAACACGCAACAACATACCAGACAAATTTCAATAAATACAGGTTTTTTATTATTATTTCACTGGGAAGCACGAGGAGCAGGAGGCCGAGCAGTTCAAGGCTTTTTGTTAAAGCCGCATATCAATCCCGGAGACAGCCATCGGAGGTCAATTTCACGGTATTTACCGGATAAAAACCGTGTACGAATGCGCACGAGATTAAAAAATGTTTGACCACGAAATCAGGGTGTGAGTTGGTTTTGACTCGGGTTTTGACGTTTGAAATAGAACGGCCAAAAATATACGCACACAATTTGATCTATTTTGGCTTGATCTTTTTCATTTTAGCTGGTTCAAATGTGACATAAATTTGGATCTAGATCAGACCACCGCTAAAGATGCCCTAACTGCTCAGATTTCACGTTGAAATTAGTACGATTTCCAAACATTTCGCACGCTAACCGAAAACAGCAACCTTCAATCTTGTATCCAATCCATTTCACACTTTCCAAGTCTTAAGGGATAGCAACCATCCTATTGACACGTTCAACCGACAAACGCACCGCTCCTTACACTTCCTATTTGATAATGAAACATGGCAAATTCCCTAGGGTTTTTCTTTAGATTTCTCATTGTAAAAGAAACCTCCACCTGTCACGAATGTTGGCGGAATCTCTCCTAATAAACGCTATAAATAAACGGAAAAATGACGCCAGCTGAGACCTTTCCACCAACACCCGGACGTAGTAGGCTGACTGTCATCTCCACGCTGTGGTTGAGGATATCATCCGATAGGCGTGACAAAACCTAAGTATGTCGCATGTGTCATTATCGCCGCTTGTCGCCGTCGTCATGACTGTCACCGCACACGGATTGAAAATTGGTGTGAAAATTTCTCTCGTTTTGTGTCTCGAGCTTCGAGCAAATTTAATTGAAAGTGTGTTTGCATACGTGTAGATGAAGTCGTATCGTAAGACGGGAAATCTTTACAGTTTTTGGCGGAACTGTCAATGAATAATAATGGCTTTTGTTAGCATGCGAAATGTCACATTCTCACCGGAGGAATTGTGTTTTGCGGGTGGTCTGCTAAGAGAAAAGATTGTGTGCTGAGTTAGCATTCACATCAGATGACAAAACATGCCGATTACAATTGTAGCGTTTTGACTGATGTTTACGAAATGTACATTTGTTCAATTCGCAAATAAACTTCCACCAGCTTATCTAATAACTGATGACAATTTAATTCTCCCCTGGTACGCAACGATCAAAGCGAAGGAAATCGGAACACCAAGGGAAAAAAATCCGAGGTGGGTTCCTCCGTAGGAAACGCGCGCCAGACAGTCAGGCGACGATGACAAGACAACGGCAATGGCGGCAATGATCAATTTGTCTCGCAATTTGTACCACTCGATCATCCGTCGTCATCATCCCGTGTTCGGGATGATATGAACAGTAAACATGCATGTTACATATACACACCCCGTCCGACCGACCAACGACGACGACGACAACGGTTTGTGGGGGCTGCGAGTCGGTTGCGCGCGCTAATCGATTTGGTCGTTTGCACGTGTCGTGTGGTGTGGCGTTTTTCTGATGACATCGCCCGTTGCATGCTGTGTTATGCTGTTTCGCTTATGCGCCGTTATTATGGTGGATTTGCGTGAATCGGTCGGATCGTGTGGGGAGCTGGGCTGATCGATAAAAGAGAAATACAACTCACCTGCAATATGCCAATTAGTAACGTCGTGTAGAATAACCGTGTCAACCGCATCGTTCAATCGTGGGACTGCTGCGCCTGAAAGGAGTGAGACAAAGAATTGACGTTTAGCGAAATTTAGAAAGCAAAGCCAACATTACATTATGAGTACATTTAAGTAAATATGATGCTAACAAAGTGAACAAGCTTAGAATGCCGAGAACTCTCTGATGTGAATCTATTTCAAACTAATTGAAATGCAATGGGCTGGATTACCTGCTCCATCTTTGTCTGTAGGGAAAGACGGGGTAAGACCGCCATCCAAGCAATAAATTTAGTAGCTCAAAATGAGAAAGAAATTTAACAAAAGCATTCATTTTCCTATCGACAAAAATTATAAATTTTTTGATTCATCCCATTATTTATGATTTTTCATCAATTTTAGTAAATTAGGACGCACAAAAAGACCTGTAGTTCGTGATTCAATAAGTTTAAAAAGTCCATTAATGATTGCTTTACAGTACTTTTATTATAACTTCAAAGTTGCAGCATTTATGGTTAAATTTCTCCAGTTCGAACGAAATCTCGAACCTTCCTCTTGATGGAGCCCATCAGCGCCCGGACAGTGGAAACGGACACGGAATCAGCGCATTTCTTCCATTTTGCCCGCACTTGCTGGATGTCCTTGACTGCCCCGCCGCTTCGTCGAAGTCGCTGCTTTGAAATTGCCCAGTATTTTTCGATTGGTCGAAATTCCGGGCAATTTCGCTTGGCGAAAAAATCGATCTTGTTGGCAGCATACCACTCCAGAACCACCTTAGAGTAGTGACAGCTGATCAAATCCGGCCAAAAGATGACTTTGCCCCTATGCTTGCGGATGAACGGCAATACACGCTTTTTCAGGCATTCTTCGATGTAAACTTGGGATGTCATCGTCGAGGATGTGACGAATGGCTCCGTTTTCAGGCCACAACTGCAAATCGCTTGCCAAATCATGGCCTTCTTCGCGAGCTTATCGGAAAACACGAACTTGAATCTTCCCGGCCCATCCCCACGCCCAGCCACGATGTAAAACTTTTGACCGGGAAGCTGCTTAACTTGAGTTTGACGTATGTTTTGTCATAGATTAAAATGCAGCCCTTGTGTTCGGCAAAACACGGTCGTACAAGAGCCTTGCACGCTTTTTGGCCAAGGAATTCTGCTTCATGTGTCTGTTCGGATGTTTACAGACTTTGTACGACTTGTATCCTTCGCTGGCAAGGATGTTCCACACCGTTTGAAAGTTGTCGTTGTACTTTGTGGCCACATCTCGGATCGAAAGACCGGGATTAGCTTCAACCGAAAACTACAAATCAAGAAGACTGGCAACTCTGTCAAATGTCAGGAGACAGCAACAGCAACGCCTCTTCTGAGCAAACGTGGAACCTGTGTATGATGGTGTGTGTTAATTCACGAGTGAATTCACACACATGGGTGGAAATAAATAGCTGTCAATAATTGGTTTTGTTATGATTGTCGTAAAAAGTGCAACGTTTCTTTCTTTGCTTTATGCTGACAACGAGTAAAATTCCAGCTGAAATTGAACAGATGCGTAAGTAAATTTGTTTTGAAAATTAAAACAATGGAAATGATGCGATTCACAATGATGGTGGAACCTTACTCGGTCATAAATTTGCTATCTCAGAATTATCTTCCATTTTTCCTAAGCCCTTTAGTGATGCATTTATGGGCATTCGTATGGTGCATTAGTAAAATACATTCCCGTTCCGCATGGCTTTGGCACCTGGCCACAGCGGGGGGAGTTAAGTTGTGACGCTCGGCAACTTGGCACAGTACTCGCTGACCATTTGAATGCCACTGGCCAATCCGACACTGTTGTTATCATTCTCTGGATGGGGTCGGTTGATTTCAAGAATTTTTAAAGCATACAGAGGATCACTATCCGGTGGTTTCATGTTCTTACAACATCTAAAAGGAAATTGGAGCAATACGTACCGTTTGGGATTGTAGTCCTTCAACTTTTCATTTTCATTTTTTTCCAACATTAGATCCTGCTACGCCTTCCGTTGGATTGTGATGTAGGTACCGGATCTTTCTTCTGTTTGAATCCTTGAATTTTCAGCAGCTTCCGAATGACGGTAATTTACTTTATGGTGATGGTAGCTGCCAATTCCTTATTATTGATTGCTTCCAACAGGCAATTTAAACAATATTTCGGTTCCTCGTTCACAAGCAAAAGTTACTTTCACTAGGTATCGATCCGAGTTTCAATCCTCTACTTGATCCACCATGGCAAGTTTTTCGGTTTGGAGTTGGAAAACCACCGGCTTGCTGGGATTAGGATTCAAATTGCCGTGAAATTTTGTAGAGCAAAACAAAAACAAAAACGAGAACCGATTATTCGTTTCGGTGACATTAGATCACACACACAGTCACTGTAAATGAGCAGTCTCACTAAACTTGTGCTTCAAAGTTCCACACGCCATTTCAAAACTACTCAAATTTGGGTAGAATACACCCAGATCGGTCAAAACTGAACCTACCCAAAAATCCGTAAACTGTGTATGAAGTGACAAGTTGACAAATGAAGAACATCGACATGAATTCGATCGACGGTGTTCATTTGTCAACTTGTCACTCTAAACACAGTTTACTCATTTTTGGGTAGGTTCAGTTTTGACCGATCTTGGTGGATTCTACCCAAATTTGGGTAGTTTTGAAATAGCGTGCCCCTTTGATTGACAGAGGCACTGTTATCAGTGATGTTTGACATTTGTATGGGAGAAGGGAACAGTTGCCAGTCTTCTTGACTTGTAGTCTTCGCCATTAGACACCACACATTTTAAGATTTGTATGATTTTGTGATTCAAAACTAATTTAAAAAATCTGAGCCTTTGAAGACTTTAAAAATTTCAAACTGTAAGAAATACCTTAAGTCTTGCACAAGGGAAATTTTAGATTTGTAATTTATGAACGGGAAGAGACATATGACAATATATAAAATGATTCGAAGAATTTGTTTAACCAGTTCGAGATTAAATGGATGCCTAAAATTGCCTTTGAATCGATGCTATAGGATTTGAACCATTCGTTTATAAGTTTCATAAGCCTGCATAACTAAATGAACACTATGAAATGAAATGACAGCCCTATGGGGTTGTACGCAATGAAGGACTACGTGGTCTTACATAATAAATCTTATTTGTTAACTGCAGCAGGAGCTTGTGTTTTGTGTAGGAATAGGAATTTAAGTGGGGTTCTCTCTGTTTATACTCTTTAGTATGACGCGCTTGACATAGATGGCCCACAGCGACTCACGGCTGCGGCTTCTTCCTCCTTCTATGGATACTCATGTGGGCTTCAGCTTGCTGCTTGCAGGCAGCCTTTCGTTGTGTACTGGAGAACACCACTCACTACGCGGTGATTGAATAAACACCGTTTAAAGAGACCGGATGGAAATCAACTTTGAAATCTGTGTTAGGGAAATCGCTTTTCGCAGGCAATCGGTGATAATTTTAATTATCATAGCAACAATTGCACATTCGTGCAATTTTCAATAGTGACATTTTGAAAAATGATTAAGTCTTTAATTTAAAAGATGCGTAGAAATATTTCTGATCGATTGGTGATAAAATTATTGAAATTTGTTCAGGGGCAGCTGAGTTATTAACGTTCAAAATCTTTCATAATTTTGTTAAATGTTCCATTTTCGGTTTCCACAAAGTGTACCGTCATATAGAAATCACAGACGTAGTCCTACGTCAAAATGTAGATAATTTATCGTTAAATGTAATGTAATAATTGTGGTATATTTATCGCAACTGAACATTCATGGAAATTATGATTCAGCAATTTCAATTTTGTGATTGTTAGGAGAGAGTATGTGTTCCTAATGTATTGATAAATGGCATAGAGTGTTTAAATACCATCGTTTAAATGATAAGTAACCTTTTTTGCAGTGAACAAACATGGTTGACAGTTAAGAGGTGACACCAACCTCAGGTGTCACTGAGTCGCGCACTTTGGAGTGTAACAACCACGAAGAAGAATAACAATTCAATATGTCGTTTTAAGGAATATGAGCAATTCCATGCCAAATTACGAATCGATGAGACTCGGCCTTCCCCCGTTTGCATGAAACATTGCATAATTGTTTGTTATAGGCAACCATTCTCATTTGAGTTAAAACTAGGCCATTTTGGGTCATTTAAATGTTTTGAAAATGGCGTTTTCATTTTTTAATAAATCGTTGCACGGAAACATCAATTCAAATCAAAATGACACTTGGGACAAATTTGCAGGGAAAAATAAAGCCTTTCTGGGAAAAATTTACACGGTTCATTTGTTTAATAGAAATTCGAGTAGAAAATCAAATAGAAACTATAACCAAAACTGATTAATGGGTAAAAAAATTTACTCATTAATGAGTTAAGCCACTTTTCTTAAAAATACTTATTTTTTTCTCATTGATGGGTAGTTTCAAGATAGCGTGTACAACTTTGTCTCAGATTGCATTGCGATTAGAAGTAACGTTTTCGTGCTACGATTTATTAAAAAAATCGGATACGCCATATTGAAAAAAAAATGCTAGATTCAAAACGGCCGAATCTTAGCAAAAATGTGAAAGACAATTATGCAAAATTTCCTGCAAACCGAAGTAGGTTGGTGAGTGAATGTCTTATGAATTGAACACATTGGGGTCGGAAATGGGAGTACAGGAGCTACTTTGCACCCCCTGGAGCTTTCCTAAGGCTCCCGCAACCAATTTGATATTCTTGGAACTGACCTTAATTTTCCACCATAATTAAGCAGAGAAGTTTCACTGAAGGGACAAAAGGTCGAATGGACGAAACGTCGAATTGAACATAGAGGGACAAATGGTCGAATGTACAAATGGTCAAAATGGCCATAAGGGCGAAGGGACAAGACTTCAAATTGATCATTGATGGACAAAAGGCCGAAGTGGATAAAAGGTTGAAATGTACAAAAGGTCAACATGGACAAAAGGTCAAAATGGAAATTTTTCGAATGGTCTAAAGGTTGAAATAGACAAAAGGTCGAATGGACAAAAGATCTTAATGGACAAATAGTCGAATGTACAA